ACCACAAAAAATAATTTTTAAAAAATTAAAAAGGGCTGGAGATGTAGCTCAGTGCAAAGACCCTGAGACTTTATATTGTTTTTAATACAGAACACCACCCCCACCCCCACACAAGTTAACTTAATAAATATCGTCTAGGGGGCTGGGGGATTTAGCTCAGAGGTGCTGCTGCCTGCCGACCCAAGTTCAATCCCCGGTACCCCCCCAAAAAAAGAAAATTTGTCTAGGTAAAAAGATTCACAAGCCCTCCAGTTAATATCTGCAATACTAGGAATCATGCTAGGAATTTATTAATCCTGGTGTCTAATATAAATTCTTACATTCCAAGCTTTATTTTGGAAGATTACAAATTCAAATTTTCCCTAAAATAGGTCAAATTCAAATTTGACCTAAGGCAGATGGTCAAAGAAGCTCTGATTAGGACACTTACAGTGTGATAGTCAGGTTCAAGTAACAGTAGCCCAAATTATTTAGAAAATGTATAATATGTGAAAAAAGCAAGCGAATGCCTCAAGAATATGTAATTACTATTATGTTCCTAAATTTCCTTTGGCTTGTCAGCCTACTGATCAGTATGAAGTTCACATGTTGCCAAAGATGTTTCTGCAATTATTACTCTGAGATCTAGCACTTGAACATTTCATGCTTCAAATTAATACATAGGCTGTTATTCATCTCTTTTGATACTATAACCCAATCCCTCCAAAGCATCTTGCCAGTCCACACCAAAGTAAGACAATGGCAAAGATTAGGGAGTTTTAAGGGAGACACTACATATCACTTAGCCACTATCTAAACATTTCAGATTAATGACCATGGGCCATTCCTCTCTTAACGGGTCAACTCAAACTGTGTAGGAATACTTCATATATCCACAAAGGATAAGGTAACAGATGGACTATCAAAAGGAGTTAACCAGCTGGGTTGGAAAGATGAGATCCAGTTGGGTGTGGTGGTACACCTGATTTTCCTAACACGTGGGAAGCTGAGGCAAGAGGATCACCTCAAGGTGGAAGCCAACCTGGGCTACGCACAGTGAGTTCAAGGCCAGCCTGAACTACATAGCAAGACCCTGTATCAAAAAACCAAAAATAAAAAAGATTGTACTTCAGCGCAGAGGCCCAGTACCAAAACAAAAGATCAGATCTATTCTTCAGAGGATTTCATCACACTTACACAAAGAGAAGGTCCAGTTTTACTGCTTCCACAGCCACCAAACCAAAACTCTAGCCAGTACCTACAGAAAAGCTTCACTATAAACTGGCTTGGTGGCACACACACACACAATCCAGGCAGTTAGGAGGCTGAAGCAGGAGGATCAAAAATCTGAGGCCACAAAAGGTCCTGGGTTTGATCCCTGGTACCAAAAAGAAAAGTCTGAGGCCAGCTTGGGCTATACAACAAGTTCAAGGCTAACCACCTGGGTTACAGAGCGATCCTGTCTCCCCCAAAAAAAGGAAGGTGGCAGGGATGTAGCTCAGCAGCACAGCACGTGCCTGGCAAGCCTGAGGTCCTAAGTTCGATCCCCAGTACTAAAAAAAAAAAGCTTTACAGGTCACTCGGAATAAACCATATGACAGGGCTAACAGACACCTTCCCCCCAAGAACCAGTCCTCTTCAACAGAACAGAACTTCCTTTTGTATCTGTTCAACGCTTAACCAACAGAAGGTAGAAGGGGAACTGCAAGTTTGTGTGGCACTAATAATGTTGGATTTTTCCCAATCAAGGTAGACAGCCTTATACTAACTAGGACTAGATTTACAGTCAATCTGAGTGTGTGTCTTTTTATTTTTCTTACCCTACAAACCATCACAGAAAATACCTGGTTACTGGGCCTTGATATGTAATGATACAGTAACTTAAATAGCTCAAAGTTTGGAAAAGAAAGTTCCTCAGTCTCAGTTATGGCCCAAATCTTATGATTTCTCTAGCAGTTGTTTTAGTCAACCCGAGCTAGTTTGGCTTTTCTCAATGAGCCAAGCAACATGAGCTAAGTGAAGAGGGGCTGCTCATCAGCATGACTCTCAGTGGACTGGCTACACAGAACATGCTCCAGTCTAGAAACCAGGACAGCATAGCTGCTGTCTCCCTACACACACACACACACACACACACACACACACACTTCCAGCTTTTTGGGGGGCGGGGCGGGGAACTGTAAATTAAAACGAGACTTGCTTTACATATAACAGACAGACAAGATTCACTGCTAAAAGCTAGGGTGAACCCAGTGGTTTCAGCAGATGCTCTTTTTTGACAAAATGACACCTCTTCCATTCTGCTCTTCTCTAACCAAAACTCAAAAGCTAGTCCACCTTCACCCAGGTGGAATCAGAAAGGGGGAGGGGCAATCTCCAAATAGGAGGAGACAGTACACAGCTTTTGAAAATAGATTAAGACTCTAAGATTTAGAACAAAATGCCTCACACCTCTCCCACCACCTTGTGGTTCTACACTAAACACAGCAGAAATTACTGCCAGAACTCAGATTTGAAGAGTCGATCAAATAACCTGGTTAACATTACTTCTAGACAAGTATTTGAATTCAATCTCTATTCAGACCCTATTTGATTACCTCTAAACAGAAAGTTAACAGACATCACAAAGAGTCAGGGGAGGCAAACCACTGTTATAAAGATGGATGCTGCTTTCAACTATAAATCATTCATCTCATCGAGAATGTTCTTCACTAGGGAATAAAAGGACAAAAATCAAACTGGGTCACTCGGCCTACAGGTCTAGCTTTCTGATTCCTCCTGATTAATACTCCCAGCACTAGAGAGGCTGAGGCAGGAAGATAACCACAGGTTGGAGACTAGCCTGGGCTACACAGAGAAGTTCAAAGCCAGCCTGGAATATACAGCGAGATCTTATTTCAAACAAACAAAAAATACTTACCTACCTCATGCTATGATGACTATCACTGCCTCCAGACTGAAAACCACATTCCTCTAAAAACTAACAATAGTCTGACCAGATCCAGAGTCTCAGTTAATTATTCGTACAATCTACCTGGTTAAAAAAAAAAAAAAGGCCCAAGGAAAGCCTATCCCTGATCCAACCTGTGCCCAAACAGCCAGGGATTGATTATCAGTCACCAAAAAAGAGCACCATTTCCAACAGGATGGGCCTTCCCTTAAGAATTCGCTGAAGCCCTCTGCAGGACCCCCTTTAGCGCCTCCAGAGGAGCCTTCTTCCCAATCAACCTCGAGCAGAAATGCTACTCTATGGCATCTATCACAATATTCCATTAAGACTGCCCCAGCATGAAACTATGAATCCAAGTGGTCAGAAGACTTTGAGGAAGCAGGTATCAAAGAAAGAGCAATACGTTAACACTAACCTCTCCAACAAGTTAGTTTCCAACAACACACGGACCACACTGCCCGGTAAACAGCAGCCATGCACACTGGGGCAGGGACTGGATGGCAGGAAGACACAGGTGGGAGGGAAATGTGTTTGTTTTCCACTTTGCACCATATGCACGCACTGCCATTTCAAAATATAAATTTCTTGAAAAGAAAATGTCTTAAAAGGACAACAGCATCAGTTCTTCTCCAACACAGATCTTAAACCCACTTCTACTCCATCAACTACCCATCCAAATTCCCCTTTTGCAGTCTGGTCTACAAACACCGCTCTTTCCTTTGCTGAAACACGTATCCCCACGTCTTCATACACACAAAAGCCCTCCAAACAATCGTTTACCAGCCCAGGAGGCCACCCGATTCTCCAGGACAGCAGAAAAGACAGCTCTGCATCCACATGCCACTCACCACTGAATGAAGCCTCCAACTCCACCTCAGTGCCAGCCCCACAGCCTAACCCCGTGTTTGGAGGGAAGGGGATGCTGGGGAAGAAGCCGAAGAGGCTACAATACCTTTATGAACCGGGAAAACTGCCCGGGCCACGAAGAGCATCTAACGGCACTTGCAGAAGTAGTTAGCTCCTCAATGTAACTGACAGTAGGGATGCAAAAAGTACTTCAGATTCTGGTTTGGTCGGGAATGGCAAGTTCCAGCCCTACCAATCCTCAGGTGCTTAACTGGGAAACAGACCCCGTGTGTCCCAGAGCCCAGCTGAGAAAAGAGGTGCTTCGGTCGCTACCCCCGATAAGTGCCCACACAGGCTGGAGCAACTGCGCTCTCCTACGGGAGAGCGAGAGAACAGAGGGCTACGAAATAAACGGGTAAGGTTCCGCGCTCCTAATCCCTTCACCGCAGTAAAAATAGTGATTCTGCGCTCCCTTCCCCCTCGCGGACCCCCGTTTGTCCCGTTCACCATCACGCGCGAGACCGTGAGCCGGGAGCGGCCCCCGCACCCCGAGGGCACCCCTGGGGGCGGAGAGGTAAAGGGGGGCGCGCTGGAGAGGCAAGCAGGGGAGCATGGCGGGCAGAGGCAGGGAATGAAAGCAGGGATGGCGGGGAAACGGGGCGCGAGGGAGGGGAGGACGCGTCGGGCGGACGCACGG